AAATAAATAAACACTTAAAAAAACATAAAATCAAGCTGTAAATATATGGCTTAATTAAAAGTGGCCAAAACAAAATGAGTTAAATGAGTAAAAAAAAAAAAAATTGTGAGAAATTTATTTTTGTGTGCATGACACTTTAACGATTAAAAAAGTACTCTGAGTTTTGATTGCAGACTCTTTCCCCAATAGTTGCCGAATAGGTGTTCAAAATATATTGCTTTTGCAAACATATGCAAACAAGGAGGAAACCCTTAGTCAAAGATTAACAAGTGTGGAAGTTTGTCCACAGTGGAAGTGTGTGTAGTAACAGTGAGCAATCAGTACAGCAGGATAGGCCAGGGTGAGAAGTTAGAGGGTCTTCAGCGCCTCACCGCAAAAGTCTGATATTGGTACAAAGAACTGAGGGCTTTTGAAAAGCTAGCATTTAAGTCCTGGCTCTGCCATTTTCCAACTATCTTCTTATCTAAAAAGTGGGAATATTACTACCTAATCACAGTACGGAGACATTTTGAGTGGCTATGAAAGAGCTGTCAATGGTCAAATTACACAAAAGTAATATATTTTTATTATTTTAAGGAATTAAAAGCCAAATGAAGGTTTATAAGAAATACTCTGGGAAGATTAATTTGGTGGAGATTTACAAGATGAAGTAGGATCGGAGAACAATTAGGAAGTACCTGTAATTCTGAAGTAAAACAGTAAGAAAAAGGTAGATTTGGAACATATGAAGTAAGAATTGAAAAATGCTTCTAAACTCCATGAAGGCAAAAACCCTGCAGTTACTTTTAATACTAGCACAGAAGAGGCACTCAATATTTACTGAATGAATGAATGAGCTGAAGGTTCATCAGAGGTAGATCACGGGAGAAAAAGAATACAGAGTGATTGTAAGTTAAGGAAAGGAAGGCATGAAGGAAAGAAGGAAGAAAAGAAGGAAGGAAAGAAGAGGAGAGAAGGAAAGAAAAAGAAAAGAAAGAGAAAGAAAATAAAATGTCAGAACGAAGAGCTAGTTTTACAGGAATATGTGCTAAGTTTGAGGTGATGGTAGGATTTTCAAGTGAACTACTAGTAAAAAAACAAATGTATTCCCAAGCCTCACTTTATTGAGTAAATTCATAGAAAATTTTTTACAGTACTTGTTACACACATGTCAGGGGGAGTGAGGGAGTGGTTTATGAGTCGGAGACTTTCTAAGGCACACAGTTACTTAAATACCATACCTTTAATACGCGTACCAGGAAACTTCAAGTGGATTTGGAAGATAACATTTTTTTTCCTTTAATGTAAGTAATTTATTTTTGTGGGTGATTACTATTTAAAAAAAAATCTACTTTGACTTTAAGGTGAGAACATTTTTTGATTGCTAAGACTCCTCCAATAACTGCTCTTGTGAAACTTAAGCAAAGCCTGGTTACTTCAGCAATTTTTGAGGCTTCTGCCTTGGAGGGACAGTCTCATGGAAGAAGGAAGGGCAGAAAGAAAACTACTCAATGTTAAATCTCCTAATAACAGTCTCAGAGGTAAGGATGCCTTTGAGTCATTTAGTTGATACTTGTAGTGAAGAAGACTGTCACCCCCGGTCTTTAGGGTGTGTTAGCCAAATTTTAGGGTAAACATGAATCACTGAGGGTCCTCCAAATATGAACCAAGTTACAGTTGCTTTTCCCTATGCAAAGTCTGTAAGGCAATACACTCGGAACTGTATGCTGGCCGAGGCAGAAGTTCTGGCTTTTCTCAGGGACGTACCCTGAGAAGTGTACAGTGGCAGCTGTCCATCTCGAGATAGAAATGAAGACAGAGTATTTTTCTGAATAGAAGATTCTGAGTGTGTTATTTTCTCCTTATATGAATTAGGTAAGCTTCAAAGAAGTCGAACCTAATTACCTCATGCCGGCATATTTAATATGCACATTAAATCAGAATCTCAAGAGCAGAGCAAGCATTCACGGATAATATTACAAGTGCGTATGTGGGCACATTTAAAACTTCAGTGATAAAGACACACAGAATTCATGGAATTCTTAAATTACTTACAAGAGACCAAAAAAAAAAAAAAGTTATTAAGCAAAAATAAGCCATGCAAGCCTGCTACAAAATCCCTAGTTGGTAAAAAATTGGAAATTGGATCAAGTAATGACAGGATAGGTTAGATTTAAAAATGCAAAATGAGGGGTGCCTGGGTGGCTCAGTTGTTTAAGTGTCCAACTTCAGCTCAGGTCATGAGCTCACGGTTCATGGGTTTGAGCCCCACTTTGGGCTCTGTGCTGACAGCTCAGAGCCTGGAGCCTGCTTCAGATTCTGTGTCTCCCTCTCTCTCTGCTCCTCCCCCACTCACGCTCTCTCTCTCAAAAATAAACAAACTTAAAAAAAAAAATTCAAAATGAGGGAAAAAAATGCAAAATGGGGATGGGTGGGTGTAACATTTTATGTCTATAATGATTACATGCAAGTTATTTTAATGATTTTAATATATGTAAATTAAGGTTTACTTTTTAAAGACAAGGGGTTGAACCTTTGTGAAAAGCTCCATAATTTGTACAAATGTATTTTATTTATTTATTTATTTTTTTAAATTTTTTTTTTTTTCAACGTTTATTTTATTTTTGGGACAGAGAGAGACAGAGCATGAATGGGGGAGGGGCAGAGAGAGAGGGAGACACAGAATCGGAAACAGGCTCCAGGCTCTGAGCCATCAGCCCAGAGCCCGATGCGGGGCTCGAACTCACAGACCGTGAGATCGTGACCTGGCTGAAGTCGGACGCTCAACCGACTGCGCCACCCAGGCGCCCCAAGTACAAATGTATTTTAAATGTCAAAATAATGTTTGGAGGCTTTGCAGTTTCAATTGTTTATCTGCTTTGACAAACAAACCGCAAAAGCACAATTAAAATACTAAAAACATAAATTTTATTGGTAAAGGGAATAAATCAAATAGCTTTTAAAATGATTCTTCAAAGGAACAAGTACATACAAAAACATTTTGTATAAAAGACAAACAAAAAACTCGGGGCACCTGAGTAGGCTCAGGATAGCTCAGTGGGTTAAGTGTCCAACTCTTGGTTTCAGCTTGGGTCATGATCTCACAGTTGTGAGTTCAAGTCCTGCCTGGGGCTCTGTGCTGACAGTGTGGAGCCTGCTTGGGACTCACACACACACACTCTCTCTCTCTCTCTCTCTCCCTCTCTCTCTCTCTCTCTTTCATGCTCTCTTTCTCAAAAATAAATAAACTTTAAAAAGCAAAACGAAACTCAGTATTAGTTATTTTAGTATCAGTTTAGTTAGATCTCTGACATTTAAAAACCGAATTTTGGGACTGTGGACTAAAACAACGTGAAGTTACCAGAAAACCATTAAAAAGAAAAAATGAGGTAGAACTCAAATTGCCTCCAAAAGCAGTAGTGAATATGTCGATTTTAGACAAAAATCTCAAAACTCTGCCACCAAAAAGGTTACCAAAATAAACGTCAAAGACAAATTGTACTATACAGGCTTATAAGACTTACATTTAATAAAAGGCTGGAGAAATACACATTAAAATCAGAAGAGCATTAATAGAAATTTTACAAGTTTAAGTTTAAAGCAAAATAGTACTGAAAAAGTAAAAGGGAAGAATGTAGAATTCTGTATTTCCAAGTCTCATTCTAGTTAAACATGTGCCAGAACTGGAATTGTGTGCATGTATGTACATGAGAAAGAGAAAAAACATGAGGCCTTTCTAAGAAATGCAGTTGCTTAACCTCGATGCTTGTATGTTTTCGATCAGATCAGCATTTCTCATTGCTGGCATCAGCAGCCTTCTGAGCTGGAAAGTTCTTTGTTGGGGGCAGTGTTCTGCGCACTTGAGCATCACCCCTGGCCTGCATGCACTAGATGCAACAGCACCCTCTTCCTACTGTTGTGACAAGTAATAACGGCTCCGGATATTGCCAAACGCGTGCAGAGGAGCAAAATCATCCCTTTTGAGGATCGTTAACACAAAACACATAATCTAAAATTTATATAAACACATAAAGGTATAATTTTTAAAAAGTCTATACATTTTAAATGATGATGATATAAAAAAAATCTGCCCTATGTTTGGGGTGAGCGCATTTTTGGGTACCAAGACCTTCTCCATAGTAATTCCTTCACGAAGCGGGGAGACGCTGGCAGATCTAAAACAAAACCAGGACAAACCTGGTTCTTTCAACTGACGTAAATTATCTCTCAGCAGCCATCTCTACCTTGAATCTACTAATCTGGGCTTTTGCTCAACTCTTACACTGAATCTTTGTTTACATTTTCCACAATGACAGTCATTACCCTAACTGACTTCTCTGTAAATGTAATTAATCATAGTCTTCATAAAATTTTTCAGTGGTCTTAACTCTTTCCTCATTGTTTTATTTCTCTGCCATATTTAAGGCCCATACCCTTGAAAAAGTTAATACTCAGTAATATAAATTATATAGAAGAAAAAAATGTTTTATCTAATTTATTCCTATATGAAAGCAAAATGTATTCAAATCTGGAATGCCACAATAAAGGCATTTAAATAATGATACTGTTGTGCTAGACAAGATTCAGAAATACAAGAAAATGATCACAAAAAAACTGAATCTCTAAATATCAAAAAAACAGAATTTTCAGAGTGGTGGAAAGCACTCTAAATACACATTTGAGGGGCACCTGGGTGGCTCAGTCGGTTAAGCGTCCGACTTCGGCTCAGGTCATGATCTCGCGGTTCTTGAGTTCAAGCCCCACATCAGGCTCTGTGCTGACAGCCCAGAGCCTGGAGCCTACTGCAGATTCTGTGTCTCCCTCACTTTCTGACCCTCCTCCACTCATACTGTCTCTCTCTCTCGAAAATAAATAAGCATTAAAAAAAATTTTTTTAAATATACATTTGATCCATCTATGAATCCAAACTAGAAAACATCCAAGGATTTGGAGGATTGAGCTGCATACACAGGAAAGATCCATGCTGTCCTACCAGTATTGTTTACAGATCAAATCTTGGCACTTCAAAGACAAAATCACAGAATTCAATCATATTCCTCTTGTTGCCACAGAAAAATAAATTGGATTAACCACAGCAAAACAAAGAAAGAAATGTTATGTCATTTTTCTCTATCACAGGAAAATATTATTCTAGTAATATTTATAATTTACTTAAACGAAAAAACAGTTTCCAAAACATCTGCATTATTTTATAACTTACTTTAAACAAGGGACATTATCACGAAGTCCGTCAGATGAACTGCTACTGGTAGAAGGATGAGACTGAGGAGGAATGGGCTGAGGAGTGGCGCCCCCTACAGGTGTTGGCAAAGGTGGTGCCTGTTCACCCTCGGGGGATTCCACATCACTTATCTCATATAACAATCGAACTTCAAGCATCTGTTATAAAAGAAAGACAGTTCACCTACTACTAATAATTATTCACTTTATTACGATTCACACTCATACACACATACACTTCAGTGGAAACATGTTGTAAGGGTAAAAATTTAGCCACGATTTCTAAAGGTAAAGATTTAGGAAAGAAAAAAAAAATGTTTCTGACTCAGCGTTTCAAAAATGATTGTGTGTCTGTGTGTGTGTGCGCGCAAGAACACACGATGATTTTAGAATTCACAGCATGCCTGTTAGTACCAAATTAGAGTATGCTCATATTCATATTAACTTTCCTTAAATGAAACATATAATATACATAAGGATTTAAATGCTCACTAAAAAGATATAGATTAAAATACACTATTTTCCACAAAAGACAGATGGCAATGTAAACACTTAAGTGTTTTTAAAAATTCTAGAAAAAAACGACTGCAAATAATCTCCTAAATAATTAAAAAAAAATTAAATGTTAGACATCTGACACTGAAAATAATTAAGAGACTATTACCGGAATGACTTCTGTAATCACTTCTTGTTTGCTGAATCTATAAATAATGACATGAGCTGAAACTCCAGCTATGCACAGCATTCTACTTTCCGGACACCAGGAGATGATCTGAATGGCATATGGATCTTCATCTACAATATCTGTGTTTGGCCTGTCATCTTTATTTCTTGACTTTTCAAATACTTTAGATGTCTTTAGTTTATATAATACTTGCAGAGTTACTAGAAAAAAAGATAATATGTGTTAAACATTTTAATATAAAAAGAACAAATATAAAGTAATATTTAATCACTCATATTATCTAAGGAAAATAGCCAATATTTATTCGAACCATATTTTTATTCCCAGGTCTACATTTCTCTATTATTCTTTTAGATAATGCATTCATTGGACCTACTGACCAGAAGAAAGGTGTACCTGTATTCACTAAAAACAAAAACAAAAAAACTCATCATGATGATGAATTTAGATAACCTGAAAAAAAATCAATGACAAAAATATTTTGTGAAAAGAAAAAAGTATAAATATAATGAAAATAAAAAACATTTTTGCTTTCTAAAATGATTTTCTACTTTCACTACAAACGGTGCTAGTACATCTCATATTTCTATATGATGAAACACAAAATATCCTGAGTTAACTGGAGTCTCACTGCTTGCTATGTGTATTTTGCAAACATTGATGATTCAAAGCATTCTTTCCTTTTTTGCTATTGTGTAACCAACATGTATATTCCACAAAGAGAATACAAATTACTGTTAGCCGAGCATCAGGCATTATTCTACAGATTTCTGTTGATTTGAAACACATTCTCACTTTTCCTAATTCTGAGTTAAAAAGAGAAGGTTTGAAGAAATTTTGAAGAAAGGATCTGATTACTTCTGCTGAGAATTTTTCTTGACTGACTAGACAGTATCCTTAAAAATATCTTATGTCTATCAAGAATTCTAAACTCATATACTTGATAAATCAGTTATTAAACCAATAGCTTCCAAATTTTATACTAAATGTTGATTATGCAATTATTATAAAACAGGTTATATAAAAGCAATGATTATATAACAAACATATAATAAATAATATTCAAAATACTTACTTGCAGAAGCATCCCAGAACTTAACTGATCCATCAGCATGCCTATGAAAAGGAAATGAGTTAAAACTGTGATGATACAAAGGAAAAAATATTACATTTTTTCTTTCTTTGAAGTATACTGTTATTTGCACATGATCTTAGCCAAAAGGCCGAGAAGCGATGAAGTATACTGTTATTTGAAAAGTTAGCCACCAAACGAGGAAAGGTAAAAAATTCAAGGTAAGTTGGCAGGTTCCAGACAATAACATTTTTTAATACACTACAGCATAAAGGAAAGCACTACCTGCCCAATTAATTAACGTCCATGTAGTCTTTGTATTTAGCCATTATTGGTTTAGTGGTGAAAACAGGCTTTTACTTACCCTGTAATAATTATTTCTGGGTAACTTTGAACACCTAAGCCCCAATTACCTCCATTAATGGGCCATTCCTATAAGAAAAGATTATAGTATAAAGCAACTTTCAAGCATCTTCATATATATATTTCTATGATAACAGTAAACAATGCATTTTGCTCCAAAAAAGGATTTTCTATATATTTTCTCTAGAAAAGGTATACATTATCAAATATTCCAAGGTGATAAATATAAAATACTGAAATGCAACATTAAATACTAAAACTCATGTTCAATACCTTTTTGCTGTAACCTTGACGTTTCTGTCTAGCTCCAACAGAATAAAGTGCAGGAATGAGGTCCACAGGACAATCAGCAAAATATTCGCAACATGTGACAGGGGATTCGTGTATACTCAAAGGGTAGGGATTTTCAAATATAGGATATCTTTAACAATAGGAAAAGAAAAATATTTATGTATTTAATAAAATTAACACAACAATGAAAACTTTTAAAAATTATTTACATCTTTGGAACAAAAACAATATTTAAAATTTGATTAAAGATAACATTCTCTGAAGGCCCATATAACATATTATCTAAATTTATATTTTAAATTTTGGAATACAGTGCTCTTCTCCATATTTTTGGAAATTACATACATTCTGTCACAGAGATTTAATAGATTTAATTTATGCAAATATGTAAAAAATGACATCTTCTATAATGCAAGTTGCTCAGTTAGACTAGTAAAGAGAAAAGCTGCAGCTGGAATTACATACCATGTGGCACACACTGGACTAAGTGCTTTATATAGACATTTATCTTCTTTACTTCTCACACCACACTTACGATGTAGAAATTTTATGGAGGAACGAAAACAGAGTAATGTGCCAAAGGCATGGCAGCCGGCAAGGAGAAGCCAAATTTTTTTTTTTTTTTTAATTTTTTTTTTCAACGTTTTTTATTTATTTTTGGGACAGAGAGAGACAGAGCATGAACGGGGGAGGGGCAGAGAGAGAGGGAGACACAGAATCGGAAACAGGCTCCAGGCTCTGAGCCATCAGCCCAGAGCCCGACGCGGGGCTCGAACTCACGGACCGCGAGATCGTGACCTGGATGAAGTCGGACGCTTAACCGACTGCGCCACCCAGGCGCCCCCAAGGATAAGCCAAATTTATTTATTTATTTTTATTTATTTATTTATTTTTTTTTTTCAACGTTTATTTATTTTTGGGACAGAGAGAGACAGAGCATGAACGGGGGAGGGGCAGAGAGAGAGGGAGACACAGAATCGGAAACAGGCTCCAGGCTCTGAGCCATCAGCCCAGAGCCCGACGCGGGGCTCGAACTCACGGACCGCGAGATCGTGACCTGGCTGAAGTCGGACGCTTAACCGACTGCGCCACCCAGGCGCCCCAAGGATAAGCCAAATTTAAACTATGCTCTTAACTGTAAAGTTCTCAATCAACAGATTCCTCATTTTTATGTCAAATAACACAAATTTGCAGTTCTCTTCTCCATCAATGTAATGCCGAGTGCAATATTTAATCTAGAGATGCTCTCTTGTTTTAGTGATAATCTAAATAAAAGTCTACCTTAAAGGTTTCCTAGATAGGAAATTATTTCATTAAATAAAGCAAAAAATGCTTTCAAAAATCTTAAAGTAAAATCCTAACTAAATGTACAATGATATTTCTTTTCTGGTTTGAATTCCTTGAGAATGGTTACTTAAAAATATCTAGAAAACCAGCAACTGGCCCTAAAAAAGTCTCAGAAGTTTAGAGTGGCTCATCTGCAAAAATTGTATGTATTCATCAGTCTACCACTGACAATAATTTAAAAATTAGAAAAGAATAAATTCAGAAAAGCCCTTTCTAGATTTCAAAATGAAGCGAACTGTCATCACTCTTTCCTCGAACACACATAAAAACACAGAAGAAAAATTCAAACAAAAACATGAATTAAAAAAAATGGCAGGTAACTTTTTTCTCTTTATAAACATACTTTATAATCCTTAGGCACAATGACTCTACTATTACCATACATTTAACTGATACGTTTGCTAAATAAAATGCCTAGTCACAGGTTATTTGGACAATATTTTCTTTAACTTAAATACATATCAGTATAGACCACAGGCAAAAAGTCCCACTATTTGAAAACTTAGCTAATGAAAAAAAAGTCATATTTAAAACAAATTTTTTTAATGTTATTTATTTTTGAGAGAGAGAGACAGAGACAGAGACAGAGCATAATAAGCAAGGGAGGGGCAGAGAGAAAGAGGGAGACACAGAATCGGAAGCAGGCTCCAGGCTTTGTGCTGACAGCTCAAGCCCACAGACCATGAGATCATGACCTAAGCCAAAGTTGGGAGCCTAATGGACTGAGCCACCCCAGGTGCCCCCAAAAATAAAATCATATTAAGAATAAGTTATTCCAAGACTGCCCTTTAGAAATACTGTTTTCAAATTCCTTTCCACTATAGTCTTGTAATTTTCAAAAAGGAAAAAAAATAATTATTACAGGTAGTACATATTAAGTTGATACGAATCTAGTAGTACCTTAAAATAAGGTAAATAATACTGTTGACTTATACTTCCGGGTTTCCCAATCCAGGTACTATTCACATTTTGGATCAGATAATTCTTTATTATAAGGGACTGTCCTGTTCATTGTGGATGTTTAGCAGCAACCCTGTCCATCACTAGATGCCAATATCATCTAGAAAAGATGTTTACACAGATACAATCAAGTATCTTCTGGGGGGGGGGGGAATTGCCCATAATTGAGAAACACTGAGATCCTAAATGGGTAAACACAATTAAATTTTCATGATTATTTCAAGAGACACAAATAAATAATGTAATATTCTTGCATTCAAAGAATTTATCATCTATGTTGGAAAAAGGAGAATATGGCAAATACCACAAAAAGTTGCAAAGGAGCTATGGTGGCAATTTATACACCAGGTATGATATATCTGGTTAAGAGAGAGGAGAAAAAGTTTAAATGTTTATTTAATTTTGAGAGAGAGAGAGCAAGAGCACAAGCAGGAGAGGGGGCAGAAAGGAGACTGAGAGATCCAGAAGCAGGCTCCAGTTCTGGAAACTGTGTGTCAGCACAGAGCCCACATGGGCTCAAACCCACAAACCACGAGATCATGACCTGAGCCAAAGTCAGACACGCAACCCACTGAGCCACCCAGGGGCCCCTAGAAGAGGAAGTTGAATGAGGAAAAGAGGACTGACTTTGAAAGTTATATGGAGTTTTGATGGCAGTGAAGCAAGTGGAGTTTGCAGCCACTGGGAACTATATAAGAAAAGACATTGAAGTATGATGTTTGTTTAATACACAGTTGTTTTTCTAGGGAATAAGGCACCTGTAGGAAGACAGTGAGAAATCAAGTCAGAAAGGTATCCTCAATTCCTACTGTGTGGAGAAGCAGGCTGAGAAGGTGCTTTCAAATAATAAAACAGTAGAGATCATAGTGGTTTAAAGAGGAGAATAACAGGGCACTGGTTGGCTCAGTCAGTAGAGTATGGGACCCTTGAAAGAGAAGAGTGACAAGCTGGGTGCTGCATGTAAAATTACTCTGACAACGGTATTCATGACAGTGCCACAGAGAGTGCATGTGGGGAGGCCACAGAGCTTATCTGGAGGTAAACTGTGATGGGATGAATTCTGCACTTATTTATTTTGTGTGCCCCCACAGTGTCCAAGTATTAGGTTGAATTATATGAAATTTCAGAAATTCAAGAAATTCTGACTTAAAAAATAGAAATTCTGTGTGAGCAACATACTAGCGAAATCTGGCAGGTAATTAGAAATGTGTGTCTGAAACTCTAAAAGAGGCCACCATTATGGATATAAATATAGAGTTTTCAAAAAAAAAAAAAAAAAGAAAGAAATAGCCAACCCTATGCTAAAAAGAGTCTTTTCTACCATATACTAAAATAATCTCTCACCAAATTTTATTCTTACCCATTCTGTGCAAGGTCTATAAGTACTAAATCCTTTTCGAGAAGAACCACCACAGCATATGGTTCCTGAAAATCTGGAATAGGAAAACAATGCATAAATAACAGTTTTAAATATGGAATAAGACAGCAAATTAGATAATACACATTTGCTTTTTTAAAAATTTTTGTTCCATTCTCTCAAGTATGTAACAATCTGATCTTGCACTTCATGTAATTTAAGACTACTTGGTTTTAAATGAGATAAATCTATATAACTCATACAAAATTACTTCAATTTTGTAAAGACGAATAAAACAAGAAGTTCACAGTAACTTCTATGGTATTGCAAAATCCAAGGCAGGACATGGGCAACAAACCCAAAATTTAAATCTGAATATCCATAAGAACAATTCTTATTCTTGTCTCTCATAGGAACTCAGTAGAGTATTACTACAATATTATAATCTCTTTCTTAGATATTTTGTATGCACTTGTTAATTATATAATGTGTTATAGCTTTACATTTCAATTAGCTTCAAATGAAACAAAAAAGATCCAGATTTAAATTCCTCTTGAAAGGATACACGCTAGCTGTTACCGTTAATTTTATGTGTCACTAGTCTCTGATTTGGTGCCCACTTGTTTGGTTAAACACCAATTTAGATGTTGCTGGGAAGGTATTTTTTAGATGTGATAAACGTTTAAATCAGCAGACTCCCAGTAAAGGAGATTATCAGGTATAATGTGGGTGGCATTCATCCAATCAGTTGAAGGCCTGAAGAGAGAAAACAGGCTTTCTAAAAAGGAAGCAATTCTGCCCCAAGACAGCAACATCAACTCCCAAATTTTCAGCCTGCCATGGTGCTTGATCAATTTGATTTATCACCCTCAATTGTGTGAACCAATTTCTTAAAATAAATTCCTTATTTCTCTCTCCTCTCCTTATGTGCTATCAGTTCTGTTTCTCTGGAGAACCTTGATCAATTAATACACTAGTGTTTTATAGAGTTTTAAAATGTTGCTTAATGTGGGCAGTTCTGTTTATCCTTCAGTAGCACTAACTACTACTATGTCATATTAAACAGATAAAGCTTATTAAACAAAATTAACTTCTGAAATAAAACTTACAAAGTTATGAAGACAGAATCTCTCCCCCAGAAGAGTGACAGCATACTAGGATAAGGAAACTATTTAGAAAACAAACAGGTCTTTGTTCTGAATAGCAGATACCCACAGAGAATACGTTTTAAAGATGCAAAGCTTATTACCATTTGGGTATGGTGTTTCACATAGCGTTAGAAAATCCACAATTGAATAGTCCATTTCCAGCACAGCAGTACTTTTCCCATGCATAACTGTTAAGCAGGGTCTTCTTCCTACAGTATCATAGGACAAACCTCCTGATAAAATAATAAAAGGTTCCCTGGAAGTAAAATACATAGGTGGGATTATAAATACCATAATGAAGACTACTTTCTTGCTGTGTTATACATTTTTTACTTAGTGACATAATGAAATCTTAAATTCTAACATTTTTATGTGTGATTTAATTGAATAATCACAGGTGGGTTTTTTAATTGCATTAGGTAAGACCCAGGTGAATTCATGAAAATTAACCTACAGTAAGAATGAACATTGACCATATATGACGCTCTCATACCTCCCCTTGATCCCTAAAAATTTTTCCTTTACCTTCTTTATATAATTGTCAAAAAATTCTCTCTGGGTTTCTATTGGTGAAGTGTCTTGAATGCACTGCTTTTATTTTCAATCCTGATAACCAGGCCTTCTCAACAGAAGGTCTAAAAGAGAATGTTAATGACCCATGGCATCCACTGTATGTAATGAATTAACTTCTCATTGATGTATCAGGAATATACTAGCTATAAGTCACCCTTGAGAAAACAGTCACTCAAAATCATTTTCTGTAGGGCTCCCTTCTGGAATTTTGGCTGGTATGCTCCCAAACCACAGTGCCCGTGTACATCACCAGCTGTCAGCCTGCCACTCCTAATCAGCTCTACAACTCTGTCTCCCTATCAGTCATTACTTCATGATTTATCTAGACCCACTTTTTAAAACTCCTAAATATGCAAAACACAAAACATCTTTTTGTATGTTTTGACCTGTGTGTATTTATCTTTGTCTTGCTTATTCATGTTTTTTGTCCATGTTTTCATTGGATTAGTAATCCTCTTCTAATGGTTTACTAAGAGTTCCTTGCATTCTAAGGGATTAGCTCTTGATCTGCCACATGTCTCACCATTTATAGGTGGGGAAGTTATTTACATTAACAGAGGATTTCAAAAATTTGATACAAGATTTTCTTGAATCTTTTCATGTATGATTTTTAGGTAGTTTCTGAATGTTTCCTCTAAGGTCAGTAGATCTATCTTCCTCCTCTTTACATCTGGTATAAACAGTATATAATAACATGTAGTGGTTAAAAGTGCTAGTTCTTGTATTGAACTTGAAGCTTGTTTGTTGTTATATGGCTGTGAATAATGAGACAATAAGATTAAGCAATATTTTATTACTTAAAACAAAAAAGTGCTAGTTCTGGAACTAAACTACCTGAGTTTAAATTAAATCTCAGCTCTGGCTTTACTTTCTGTGTGATGTTGGACAAGCTGCTTAACCTCTTTGTGCCTAGCTTTTGCATCTATAAGATGGAGTCTGAGTGGTAAGTATCTACCCTCAATCACTGAATTAATATACACAAAGCACTGGGGTCAATGTCTGTAACACAGTACACCTTTGGTAACAGTTATGTATTATTATTACTAGTAACAGTTATCTATTACTATTATCATCAAATCACCATTATCATCCATTGTGAAAGTTTTCCTTCTTTTGATATGTGCAAAGAAACATTAAAATTTCTAAATTATATTTATTTTTATCAAAACAAGAATAAACTCCACTAATAGAGTAGGAGCACAAGTGTGTAATCTATACTAAATATAAAAAATATAAAATATAACTAAATATATATAGTTAAATATATATATTAAATATATACTAAATATACTAATATATAGTAATATAGTAA